CGTGCCCCACCCCCACCCCACCGGCCCGCCCGGCTGATAAGGCCCTGACCAGCGCCCCTGTGTCTGGCCTCTCAGCCCTTCAAGTTTGCCTTGAACATCCGCGCCCACCGAGGGCCGTCTGGCCGGCCGGCATTATCTTGGCTATCTCAGGGTCTGGCTGCCGCAGGGGACACTGGCTCCGGAGGTGGTGGATGGGCTCCCAAGCCTGGCCCCAGGCAACCACTTGATGAAGGCCTCACAAGCCCTGGCCAGACCCTGGTGGGGGCTCTGGGCTCCAAGATATGTGCCATCAGGCCTGGGCTGGGCTGGGGGTGTCAGAGGGGCATTGCTCCCTCCCCTCCCCCTCATCTTCATCCCAGAGCACTGAGTGCAATCGCCAGTGTGTCTGCAGAGCCCCCCCACAGCCCCTCCATGTGGTGGCCGGACACCCCCAGGGCAGGGCAGCCTACCGAGGGCCCCGGGCTCCTCCCTCCTCTTGCCCAGCCTCACCCGGCCTGCAGGGCCCACGAGCTTCCGCGGCCCTCTGGCCCACTCGAGGCTGACTGCTGTGACTCAGGATCCCTGGCGTGCAGGCAGAGGCCAGGCTTGCACGCCTTCTCACCCACCATCTTGTTTTGTTCTTACTCGTAGAAGTAAGGTTAAGCTCAATTCCCATCCTCCAGAAGAAAGGAAGTAGGCTCAGGGTCTCATCTTTCAAAAGAGGGAAACAGGCTTAGTAACTCAGAGAGAAAGGACTCAGGCTTAATACCTCTGTCTTAAAGAAGGAAGGAACAAGGCATAGTATCCCATCTTACAGAGAAGAGAACAAGGCTCAGCATCTCATCTTACACAAGGGAGGACAAGACTTGCTATCTCATCCTATTGAAGGGAGGATCTGAACTCAGCACCCCAGCTCAGAAAAGCACGGGGTGGCTGGGCATCAGTGGCTCACGCCTGTAATCCTAGCAACTCAGAAGAATGAGATCTAAGGATCACGATTCAAAGCCAGCCCAGGCAGGAAAGTCCATGAGATTCTTATCTCCAATAAACCACCAGAAAACCGGAAGTGGTGCTGTGGCTCAAGTGGTAGAGTGCTCACCTTGAGCTGAAGAGCTGAGGGACAGCGCCCAGGCCCAGAGTTCAAGCCCTACGACTGACAAAAAAAAAAGGCACAGGACACAGCCAGTGTGTCAAAAGTCAGCAAGGTGTTCTGGTAGGCACTGGCTGTGCACAGTGTGCCCTGGCTAGTGGGCCGGCTCTTCCAAGGCTGATGGGAACCAAATAGCAGCAGAGGGGGTGGCAAGGGGTGCTGGCCAGTCCTGTGGGGGGCGGAAAGAACACTGGGGCTGGGCCCCCAGCTCCCAAACCCCCGTCCCTGTCCCCCTCCTCCCCACCCCTGCGTGCACAGCCCAGCCTGCACGACAGGAGCTAATGGGTGTCTCTGTGGCCGGCAGCAAGCACGGAAGCCCTACGATGTACGGGACGTCATCGAGCAGTACTCTCAGGGCCACCTGAACCTCATGGTGCGCATCAAGGAGATGCAGAGAAGGTGGGCACGGGGCAGAGGAGGTGCATGGGGACATGGGGCCCTGGAGAACCTCACCATGGCATACCCCCTCAGCCCCGCCCCGGCCTCGGGGGGGCCCACGGGGAGCGGGGCCCGCCCAGCCCTGGCTTCGGCAATGACGGGGAGCTCGAGCTGCCCCAGACCATCCCACGGAGTCTCCCAGCTCACCGTCTTTGGGTCTCCCACTGCCAGCCCAGACTAGGGGACCCCGGCACCGGAGCCCACGCGCTCTGGGCTCTGGCTGGAGTCCTTGTTCCGTTGGAAGCAGTGGGTCTTGGAACCCAGTCTGGGCTCACACCATGGTGGGCTAGCCTGGGCAGAAAGCTCCACGGCTGGGCTGGGAAGCTAGCTGTGTGCTGCAGGGTACTGCTGGGCGAGCGTGCCGGCCAGAGGGGCTCAGGGACTCCCCATCACGGCTCTCCCTCACCCTACCGAGACAGGAAGTCCAAGGGGTACCCCAACGTTTGCCCCTCATTTCTGAGTTTCCCTCATAGCTCTCTTAGGAATCTGGGTCTCTGGGGGCTCAGGAGCCTCTTATTGGGTCTTGGGTGGCGAGGGTGACACCCCGGGAGGGTGGTGGACGCTGGGCACCGTGTGTTTCGCTGGCCAAGTGCGAGCTGCTGTCCCTCGTCCCTTCCAGGCTGGACCAGTCCATCGGGAAGCCCTCTCTGTTCATCCCCATCTCAGGTGGGTTTCTGCAGGGTCCGGGGCCCGGAAGATGTCGGGAGCCATGGGGCCCCCAGAGTGCGTGCCACACACACACACACAGGTCAGCCCAGCCTGAGCAGAGCAGCCTTAGGCACCACAGGGGACCGTGAGGAGTGTGCCAGGGGTGTGAGGGTCCTGCGAGTCCCCAGGGTGCTGACCCGGGCTCTGGGTGCGGACTCTGGAGCGGAGGCCCCATCAGAAGGGGAAGCTGATGATGGGGGGGCTGGAGCTCCAGGACCTGCGGGTGGGGGTCTCGCCGGGCTCAGGACCCTAGGAGCTCTCAGGACACCACCCACGCCGCTCCACAGGCCCTCTGGATGGGGGCTGAGCCACACCGGGGGAGCACAGGCCAAGCTAACAGCTTGGGACAAGCCCGCATGGAGAAGGGGGCACGGGGTGGCAGAGTGGGTGTCATGGGGGGGAGTGGGCACAGGCCCACTGAGGGGGAAGGCCGCGGGCAGGATGCGCTCTGCAGACTCTCGGGGGTTGTGGAGTTGGGGTGAGCTGGGATGGTAGAAGCAGGCTGCACACCCCTCCTGCCCCCGCCCACCCCGCAGACGCAGGTGCCCCCACGGGACTTGGCCCTCCCCCCTCAGCCCTGCCAGCGCCCCCTGGGCCCACACATCCATGACCCAGGCGCTTTGTGTCATAGAGAAAAGCAAAGACCGAGGCAGCAACACCATCGGCGCCCGCCTGCACCGGATGGAAGACAAGGTAGGTTCGCCGTGCAGCCCGCTGTGAGCTGTGGGGTGACCCAGGGCCGGTCGTGATGACACCATCCTCCCTTGGGGCCGGCCCAGCGCCCCCAAGGCCGTCAGCCACGGCCCCTCTCAGCGCCGAGCGTGTGTGGAGGATGTGGGCTGGGCGTACGGGGACGCGTGGGTCTCTCCACCCACTGCGCTCTGAGGGGAGCCTGGTCCACCCAGCCTGGCCGAGCGCCCACTGAGCAGTTTCTCAATTGTCCAATGAGTGATGCTTTTACTGGCAAGTGACACCACGCGGCCACACGTCCCTCCCTGGGGTTCTCCGCCCTGCGTGGTCAGGGCACCGAGCGCTGGGAGGCATGCAGGTGCGGGGTAGCTCCTCCATACCCCACTGCCTGGGTGCCCCGAACCCCAGGGCACCACAGACTACATGCGCTGAGCCCCAGGGTGCCAGGCTCTGTGCCCACCAGCCAGCCTGCTTACTCCTACAGCATCCCTAATGAGCCATGGAAGGTTCTAGGGCCCTGAGGGCCCTTTCTGATGGCCCACTACTGCCTTCGAAGTCTCTGGGGTCTGAGGCGGGTTCCTCGGTCTACTTGGATGTTATCTGAAAGCAATTCAGAAGCTAAAAATAGTGGAATTTCAGTTGGGCGGGGAGGGTGAGTGCTCCGTTTCCCAGCAATGCCTGCTGCTGGCCCCTTTCCAATCAGGGCCGCAGCTGGGCAGGTGGGCAGGCAGAGCCCGCCCCACACAGGACAAGAGGCCCTACTCCTGAGCCCATCCTGGGCGTGGGGGCAGCCCTTGCCTGGAGGCTGGGGGAGGGGGAGGCTGGAGAGAGACAATGGGGTGCAGTGGAGAGGGAGGCCGGCCTCCAGACCCCGCTGAGGCCTCACAGCCGGCTCAGCCCACTGGGCACTTGAGGGTCGACTGTGGGGGACCACTCGGGCCCCCACAGTATAGTAGTATTGCTTGGTGGATGACCCAGGGGGAAGAGATGCAGTGTGTCTGGCGGGTTTGGAAGCTGAGACCTGGGTTGGCCCTCAGCAGCCGGGAGCCCCCCATGGTGGGCTCCTCACCCGGTGCCAAGGACCAGACCAGGCATTTGGAGGCATCAAGGAAAGGAGTCTGCCCACTGCCATGAGCCAGGCACCCCTGAGCGCAGAGCAGGGGGAGCTGCGTCCGGGGGTCAGGCAGTGTGCGTGGGAAGCAGTTGTCTATCCAGGCTGGGACACAGCCTCCAGTAGCCTCTTGGTGGGGGGGGGGGAGGGTCTGAGAAGGAGGACCTGGCTCTGGGCTGATCACAGTCAGTGGGTGGGCTTGGGCGGGGCCAGTGCCACCTTGGGGTGCAGAACGGTGTGCCCACGCTGCGTCTGTGCTCTACAACAAAAGGCGGTGTTTTCCAGAGTCCCTATCCCCAGGGCAAGGCTCGGGAGCAAGGCTGGACAGAGGCACGGAGCCCTGGCGGCCGGGTCGGCCCCGGGCTCCATGCCAGGCTGCCGCGGATCCGGGGAGACCCTGCGCGGGGCGCGCTGCACCTCGTACCGGGCTCGGCCCCCTGGGAGCCGCCAGCAAGGGCCGAGGGTGAGCCCCCTGCCCGGCACCGTGCGTCACACGGAGCCCGGGGGCCAGGCCCGGACCCTGGCCGCTCGTCCAGCCGCCGACACACAGGCAGCCGAGGGCCAGCATGGGTCCTCCGGTGGCAGCCTGCCTGGCCGCTCCCAGCCAGTGCCCTCCCCGCCCCCGCCCCTGGGGGGGGACAGGCCTGGGAAAGGGCTTTGCCGGACGCAGAGGGCACAGCAGCCGGACTGGGCCCCACGTTATCACCATTATCAACGCAGCCATCAGCATCACAGGCAGCCTGAGCGCTGTCCTGCTGACCTCCGGAGGTGGGGACAGGAAATCCCTGGGCACCAGGTCCACGGCAGCACCAGTGCCAGCCTCCTGGCCAACCCGGCCAGCCCTACCCACCTCGCCATGCCCCTCCCTGCGGAGCCTGCTGTGCTGCCGGCCAGAGGAAGACAAGGCCGCAGCCGGCTGCCCTGGCCCCAGGGGACCTGGGGTGGCGGGAGGCGGGCGGGAGGCTGGCGGGGGCCTTGGGGCTCAAGGCTGGCTTGAGGAGCATGGATGGGGGGGAACGGGGTGTCCCGTCGAGAGGAGTACCAACAGTGGCCGGCTGTGCTGGCTCCGAGGCGTGCCTCTGTGTCTCTAGTCGGGTGCCCTGCTCCCCACGTCCGGGCCACAGACACACCCTGAGGAGAACCCCAGGACCCCCTCTCTGCAAATGTCCCAAGAACCCTTGCTTGGCATCATCCTCTCATCCTCCGGGGCGCTCTATCCGCCTCTGCGCCCCGAGTACCCACCCCACGCGCCCCGAGTACCCGCCCCACGCGCCCCGAGTACCCGCCCCACGCGCCCCAAGTACCCGCCCCACGCCCCTCCATTGCACAACCTCCTCACAGCGCGGGGGGCGGAGGGGAGACCTCCGTGTGCGTGGTTAAGGACAGGAGGCTGTCTGCTCTTCCCCAGCAGCTTTGTCTTATTTGTCCAGACAAATCACTCTTTACAAGCGGGGAAACTGAGGCTTTGGGGCAGGCCCGGCAGCACAGTGGCCTCTCAGCGCTTGGGGGGTCAGGGAGGGGTCGTTCAGCCCTGTGCAGGCATCCTGGGAGAGGCGTCCTTAGGCGCTGCCCTGCGCGCACCCCTCTGCCCTGAAGGTGGCTGTCAGGTGAGGACAGTCTGGGTGCGCGTGGCCCCCGAGGTCTGCAGACCTGCAGGGGAGGCTGCGCCCACCTGGCTGGTGCACCTGGGGCTTCCGGGGACCAGCCCCCCTCCCTCAGACTTGATGTGGATGTGGGGCCCTGTTCATTTTGCAAGCTAAGGTCCTGCCAGTACCTGGAGCTCAGAGTGCAGCTATCATCATAGCTCCTCAAGGAGCCAAGATCGGAGGATCCTGGTTCAAAGGCAGCCAGGGCAGGAAAGTCTGTAAGACTCTTCTCAAATTAGAAAAAAAAAAAAGCCAGAAGCAAAGCTGTGGCTCAAGTTGGCAGGTAGATCACCAGCCGTGAGTGAAAAATCTCAGAGACAGCACCCACCCTCGTTCTAGTATACACACACACACATACATACACACACGTACACACACACGCACACACACGTACACACACGTACAAACACGTACATACACACGTACAAACACATGCACACACACACGCATGCACACACACATACACATGCATGCACACACACACACGTGTGCACGTTTTAAAAAAATAGCAGTGCCAGGGCTTAAACTCAGGTATTTGCTCTACCCCTTGAGCCACAACTCAGTTTTGTTTTTTGCTTTTTTAATTCAATTATTTTTTGGATAGGGTCTCGTGACCTTTGCTGGGCTGGACCTCAGTCCAGGTAGCTAGCTGAGCGCACTGGCATACACTGTAACACCAGCTTTTTTGTTAGCATGGGGGTCTTACTAGCTTTTGGCCATGCTCGCCCCAGACTTTGATCCTCCCATTCTCTGCCTCCCCAGTCCTGGGTATTCCAGGCCTGAGTCACTGTGTGAGGATAGCGCTGAGGGTAGTGCAGAGTCCCATTCTGCTGGTGACAGCTCAGAGTGTCCACTCACCTCACCCTGGTTTGCGGATGTGCCCGTGCCTGTTTATTATTCAGTGTTTATTGTGTCGGCTTTCTCTGGCTTCTGAGTCACGGGCTTACTTGTACCTTTACCAAGACCTTTGAGGAGACTGAATCATAGCTATTAACAGCATTTCAGTCTATAAATTTGTCCTCTAAAATACCTCTCAAACAGAATTCCCCACTGTTTCTTTTCTTCTATGTTGACTAGGCTAGCCTTGAACTCGGATCCTACCACATCAACCTCCCTAATAGCTGGGTTTACAGGCTTGTGCTTCTACACCCTGTGATTCAGTCAATCCAATTTAGCTTTCATTTTCACTCCCTTCTGTGTTTTTCTGACCTGCATTGTCTCTTGTTTATCTCTGGGGTTATGTAGCAGTGCAGGTCCCACAATGACTATGAACCGCAGCAGAACTTTCTAGTAACATTGCTCTGTTGTCAGGAAAAATATTCTGTGTGGGATCAGTGTCTGGGAATGTGTTGAGCTATGATTCAGGGCAAGATGTGTGGTCAGTTTTTGTCCAGTAGTTTTGGTGTGTGTGTGTGTGTGTGTGCGTGTGCGTGCCTGTGTGTGCGTGTGTGTGTGTGTGTGCTTGTAGGCGGGGCATACCCACTGGTATTGGGGTACAGGGCTGTGCTTCAATCCATGGCGCAAATCCTCTGTGTCTCCTGACCTGTCTTTATCTGCTCAGTGTGTACCCCAAAGCTGGAGAGGAAATTCTGCAAAAACTTTCTAAAAAACTCCTAAACTGGTTTTCTAAAAGTTTTTTATTTGTTTGTTTTTCCAGCAACGGAGAGGATGCTTGCTCGCTCTCTCTCTCTCTCTCCCTCTCTCCCTCTCACCCTCTCTCCCTCCCTCCCTCCCTCCCTTCATTTTTCCCTCCCTCTTTCTCTCCCTCTCCTGCCCCTCCCTCCCTCCCTCCACAGCCTTACCACCGGATGGCTTGGTTAGTCTTTTCTGCACCCAGTTCTGAGGGTGTAATGGTATCTCATTGTGGTTTTGATTTGCATTTCTCTAATGACTAATGATGCTGGACAACTTTTCATGTGCTTATTACCCATTCACAGTCTTCTCTGGGGAGATGTTTATTCAACTCTCTTGCCCATTTTCTAATTAAGTAGTCTGTTCTATTATTGAGTTGCGAGAGCTTTTTTTTTTTTTTAATAATGTTCTGGATACAAGTCCTTTATCAAATGTATGACTTGCAAAGCGTTTCTTCTGTTCTATGGCTGTCTTTTCATTTTCTGAGCTGCGTCTTTTAAGACACAGAAGGTTTTAATTTTAATGAAGCCCAGTGTCTCTTTTCTGGTATGGTCCATGCTTTTGGTGTTCTAAGCCCTCTTTTGCATAGTCTAAGGTCATGAAATTTTTCTCCT